TCCTCTTATTCTGAAGAGTATATCCATAGCTTCTAGAATTACCTAAGGAGAAAAAAGAAGCAACAAAAATGAACAGCCATTTCAACATGCCTTCTCTCAAGCCACAAGTGACTGCTGTTGTGCCACAGTGTGCAAGCACACCAGCAATTACTGCAGCTGCTCAGGTTACACAAGGCCTGTGAATAAACAGGGGAGTGAGTGCTGCAGCAGTGCACAGGTGCTGCACCAGCACCTCAATTACACCTTGGAACACATTTCCTATCTCGACAAAAAAAGCCATAATTCTACACTTCTACCACATAGAAATACTTTAGGTAAAATATCATTGTTTCAATCCAAATGTCATGTTTCCCATAACACACATTCACATATATATATATATATATATGTAAAATATGTATTCTTCCAGCTCAAGTAAAGCAAGGACAGAACTGAGCAGAACAGAAAGGTAATTAGGCACATCTGTAAGTATGCATTCATTAGTTAGGAAACCACTAAGTTTCAGGGAAATGAGAAAAAGCAAAGGGGCAGGGGGTATGTGTATGTCACACACAACCTCGAGAACTAAGGCTGAGTTTCACATTTGACAGGAGAGCTGCTTGTGCCACCACTGAGACCAGCCAGCTGTTTCTTCCCCCTTCCAAAATCCCTGCTCTGTGTTCCTCTAACTATTCACATTTTAACATGAACTTCACCAGAGAGCTCATGCAGATGGAAAGACACCCTTCTATTTAGAGAGGACCTTTTCAGACAGATCAATCCCCAATCAAGTTAAATGTACCAGACAAAAACAGCTGTGGCAGTACAGAGAGGAACAAAAGGTGACAGATCAGTGTGGGTAGTGCTCACTGAAACAGTCCACAGAAAGAATGCTTAATCTGCTCAGAAAAAACTACCAAGCACCTGTAAAAATAATTATACTTGGATCCTTTGGAAAGACTCACTGCACAACTATTTGCTTACAAAGTATGAGACACCTCCACGTGCAATGCCATTCTACTCATGAAATAAAAAACCCACAACACAGGACTAATTTTCTTTCTATTAAAAGCATGCTAAAGAGAAATACGTAAAATATGCATGACTGTTAAAACATAATAATCTACTGCTTTATCTGCTGGTGAAGGACTTTCATGTTTCAGTGATTCTGGAGTGCCAAGAAACAGTTTGGTTCCTGAAGCATAACCCTGAAGTATTTTAGATAACACGGTAATCTGCATTAATAGGGTCTCGGAATGTAGGACCCACAAAAGTGCCAGCCAGAATGTGAAAAAAATGTTTGCCTGGGTTGATGTAAATGTTTCTTATTTGAATTATTACTATGCAAGAATAATGTTCATCAATAAAAAGAAGAGCTCTGCAAAAACAGCCACTTTTGATAGTGGCTCATCATGGACATCAGAGAATCACAGCATGGGTGAAGCTGGAAAGGACCACAGTGGGTCACAGAATCGCAGAATCTTCTGTGTTGGAAGGGAACCACAAGGACACTGAGTACAACACTTAAGTGAATGGCCCATAAAGGGGATCAAACCCACAACCTTGGTGTTAGGGTGATGTGGTCCAATGTCCTTGCTCAAGCAGGGTCATCCCAGAACACACGGCACAGGATTGTGTCCAGACAGCTCCTGAGTATCTCCACTGAGGGAGACTCCACAGTCTCTCTGGACAATCTGTTCCAGTCCTGTCACTGCACAGCAAAGAAGCTCTTTCTCATATTCAGGTGAAACTTCCTGGGCATCAGGTTCTGCCCGAGGCCTCTTGTCCTATTGCTCGGCACAACCGAGAAGAGACTCGCATCATTATGACCTCTTCCAAAGAATCCGCGACTAAAGCCAGGCAAGCGGAGTCCCCCGCGGGCGCTGGGGAATGGCAGGGGCTATAGCAAGGCGTCAGTGCGGGAAGCGCCGCTGCCCCCCGTGTGACACAGCCTGTGTCCTGCAGAAAGGGGACCAGGGGCCTCCGCACCTCTCCCCGAGGTACCCCTGGGGCCGGAGGCCCAAACGCCACGGCCGAGCACCCAGCCTGCAGCGGGGACATCAGCCCGGCCCGGCCCCGCCGCCAGCCCGGCCCGGCCGGGGCCGCTCCCCTCCCCGCTGAGGAAGGACACCCACCCACCCACTCACCTACCTATCCACCTACCTAGCCTTGCACCCATCCGTCCATTCCCCGGGGATGGGGACAGGGGGCCGGGCCGTGCAGGGGCGGGCTCGCCACGTCCGTCAGCGCCGCCGCGGGGCCGGGCCCGCCGCGTCCTGGCGGCGGCATTTCCCGTTCGGCCAGGGCCGAGAGGCCCCGCTGCCGCGGGTTCCCCCCGGCATCACCCGCCTTCTCCCCGGCATCACCCGCCTTCCCTTCCCTGCGGTGCTGCCGTGCCTGCCGGCGGCCGGCACGCTGCGGGCCGTGCGTGGGGCTGAGCGTTCTCTGCCTGGGCGGCCATGGCTGCGCTCAGCGCGGGGTGTGTGGGGTGAGCGGGGTGAGCGCCCTGCTGCCGAACGCTGGTGTTATTTCCTCGTCATTTCACAGATCCATTGGGACACGCTGCGGAGCCCCGCTGGCCCGGCTGTTACTGCTCCTGCCAGGCCAGGCTTCCACTCCGCGCTCCTCGGGCACATCGCGTGCTGAGGTCCAAAAGTCGTCCCCGTGGTCCCCTTGATAAATAAATGCTTTGTGCGTTAAGATGTAGAATTTAACTCCAGGTCTGCTTATTTAAGATAAATTATTTCTGTCCTCGCAAATAATGCTAACTAGCTTAAAACAGCGAACCCTTAAACTGGTTTCCAAGGGTCAGTTTTCTGTCATTTCGGGTTGTTTCTTTCTTGTTGCCTGCCCTTTAGTTCCTTATCCGATGTCAAGATCTCCAAGAGTCGAAGAACAGCATTGAGGTTGCCTGATGAAGTAATGGTGGGCTTTTATGGTGCACTGGTTTTATTTATCCTGTATATTTTCACCATATGTAGTGAAAAATGGCAGCCAGAGGACATTTTTGGTCTACGGTAAGAAAAGCACAGTGTGAACCAACACATACTGCAAAACCCCTCCCCCAAAATAACTGAAAAATTGTGAGTATTTTAAAACTTAGTCATGCTGTCTGTTCCACGTGCTAAGCACAAGTAAAATATGGCTCACCCTTCCGTTGTACGTGGTGTTCCAGCACATTGATTTTCATAATAAAATGTATAAAATCAATTTTATTTTATGTGTTTCCAGTGCTGTGCTGCTGCAGCTTTTCTATTCTGCATCCACATGCCACATAGGTCTGATGTGTGATATCCATCTCTTAGAGCTTTCTGTTGGAAATTGTGGTGGTTTCACCCCAGGCAGCAGCCAAGCCCCACACAGCTGCTCACTCAGTCCTCCACCAGCAGGACTGGGGAGAGAATCGGGGTAAAAGCCAGAGAATTCACATGTTGAGATAAATACAGTTTAATAGGGAAAGCGAGATAAGAAATGAATTCCCTGCTTCCCATGGGCAGGCAGGTGTTCAGCATCCCCAGGAGAGCCCTCAGCGGTGCCGCGGCCTCTGCGTGCGGCCCGCTTGGCCTCAGAGCGTGCTGCATTAAAGCTAAAGATCTGGCGGGGTTTGTTGGTGAAAGAACAAGTTCAAAGGCAGCCTTTTAATTTAACGTTCAAGTTTAAAAAATCTGTGGTATAATGACAGACTCTGCAGAGTGCTTGCCGGACCAGGACTTCTCTGGTTGCCAAGGCAGGCACAGGGAAGAAATCTCTCAAGGGAACGCTGGTGGAAAAGTCCCAGGAATATAATTGCTTGACTAGTTCAGTGGTGGGAGATGTTGAAGAAATTTGGGCATTTTAATATTCAGTCGTGGAACTTGTCATTCAGTGCCGATGCTGAAAGTTTACACGTGTTTATAGCATGGGAGGATCGTAGTTCTGCAGACTGACAGACACTGATAACTGTCCATTAGAGCATCATTTTTGTCCATTAGAGCATCATTTTGGTGGGGAGAGTCAAGGTGGGGTCATGACTCTCAGTCCTTCAGAATGGTAATTCTCAAGGTTTTCAGGGTCTCTGAACAGTTCTAACCCGTTTTTTCAGAGGTACAAAGTTAGTGAAACCACTTTACACCTGTTGGGGAACAGCTGAAGAGTTTAGTGTCTGGAATTAGGCCAGCAGTATTACACAACACCAACAAACATAAATCTTATATTTAGCTACTTACCAACTGAGAAATAATTTATTTTTGTTTTTAATTTTTGGGGCATCACAAGCAAAAAAAAAATAAAATTTAGATTTATTTATGCAATCCATAATTAATACAGCATAAAATCTGTCATTGAAATATGTCCCTGGCATACAGTTTTGGACAATTTTATGGATTCTGTTCTAAGATTAGTGACCAAGTTGTCTCCACACATGTTTCTTCAGTGCTTTTCTGTTCACTAGAATTAGAACCTTTTACTGGGAATTGCTGATGGAGAAATTTGCCCTTAAATTTTCAGGAATGGCTTTTAACAGTTACTGGTCTTGATCTTTGAGTCAGGGATTTCAGCTTGTCCGTAAGCTATGCTAGCAAATCAAATATGATTTTTTTTTTGTTCTATATTGGGCTGTTTTGTCAAAAGTAACTTAAAAAATGTTTGTTAAGTTCTAAAAAACCTTACTGTACCATGGAAGGTCTGGGGGACAGCAGAAAGCATTTTTTCCAAGGAATGCAAGAGCAAGAAGAATGAACTAGTGATGCAAGAATAATTAATCTTTTGAATTGAATAAATGTGAAATTAATTTTTCAGTTCCTGATACAAGCCCTCTAAATTGTGGAAATTTCTCAGAATGTTGCATCTTCTTTGTTAATGAGGATACAAACATTGAGAACAGTGAGTTCTGCCACTATACGTGGCACAAATTGATGTACACATCAAGTTAGCATTACCAGGTTGATATTTGTAAACTGATAGTATACCACAGGATTAACTCTCTCAGCCAGGGAGAGAGTTCATCCTGTGGTATACTATCAGTTTACAAATCAAATAAGGGTTCTAAGTAATAAAATTATAGATCTACCCTGGAAGAGAACATTTACTTGGAAATTTCTTCATGGTATTTTGCTGGCTGTTTGTGCCATCATGGGGTTTGTGTGCAGTGGAGACTGTTCTTAGCTTATCTGTGCTGTGATCTTCCTGGATTCCTGAAAAGTCAGTATGACCAGGAGGGATGACAAGAAAAGCCTTCTGGAGTTGTCAGCTCCTTTTTGCTGTAAGTAAACAAGATGGGCTCTTTGGAAATACAACAGCTTCCTAAATAAAGAAAAGTGTTTAGTCCCAAATTTGAGACAAACAGGGAATGGGTATGGAGGTCTTGACCTGAAAACATAATGGAAGTCTTGGCTTGAAAACAATAGGATTGTTGCCAAATTCAGATGTACATCTTTATCTGAAACAAGACCAGTACATTGCTTTGTTTAGAAATAAACGACATTGTGCACTTCATTTTCTATAAACACATCCAGATATTGACCCATGAGAGACTGTTGGTACTTTTCCAACAAGAAAATCAATGAAAAATAATGAATATTCTTTTTGGATTTCTTATGAAGTGCAGGAAAATTGTCCAGTGCAGAAAGACATTCCAGGAAGTTAAAGACTGCATCAAAATCAGAGAAAACAACAGTGGGATTGTTACTTAATTCGATACTTCTCCAAGAAAATCAATGAAAAATAATGAGTATTCTTTTTGGATTTCTTATGAAGTGCAGGAAAATTGTCCAGTGCAGAAAGACATTCCAGGAAGTTAAAGACTGCATCAAAATCAGAGAAAACAACAGTGGGATTGTTACTCAATTGTCTGAAAATGAAGAATTGGTTTATCCAGTTTTAGTTTTCTTCTGTTTTAGCAGCCAGTGATGATTTTTTGTAGCTGTCCTTCCTTCTCTCATGAGCTCTTTCCCACAATATCATAGTTATCTGTTGTTAACATAAAGATCCATCTAATTTGCAGGTCCATTACAACATGCTTCTTATTGAAAACCACCCAACAATATTTACAAGAGATGTGGAGGGAAAAGAAACTGAAAACCAAGAATGGGAGTAGATGAAAAACAGTAGAGCAACACTGTGCATCAGGAAATTGCCAGAAATTTCTAGTAAGTGAACAAAATTCAGGAAGTATTGACAAGTAAAACGAGGAAAAGCAGTAAGGATTCTGAAATACATGATTTGTTTAGTGGCATGCAGTTATCTGAGTAAAGACAGGGAAATTAGTGATGAGATTGTATTACTAATTTTGAGGAATAATATGATGCCTGGATGAAAAACCCAACCCCCTAAAAGCCCATTTCCAAAGGGTATCAAAGTTATATAGCAGATTTAAAGTGTAAAGAATTTTTGAAAGATTTTCAGGCTGTTGAGCAAGCTTGGAAGAGATTATACACACTGTACTTCTACCTCAGATTTTAAAGGTGAACAGAGAGTGAAAAATGGAGGAAAAGTTGAGAAGAATAAGCCTAAAGTTCACTTCAAAGATGATCTTCTGGAATTTCCTAGACTTCATAAATTAAGTTTATCAGTAATTTATTAGAAAAAAGGGAGGAAAAAAAATCTCCTTGAATGTGCAGGAGCAAATCAAAGTAAAAATTATAGTGGGAATATGATAAAATGCCTGTAAGGAAGAGTAAAGAAAAAATTGTAGTCAGCAGTTGGTATGGATGAGAGCAAAAAACACCATAACAAGGCCAGCTAACAGGGGCAGTAAAGCCTCTGAAGAGATGATGTCCAGCACCTTGTGTGATGAAGAGTATTTTGAGAGTAACTTCCAAGGACTCCCATTTGCTTTTGTCTCTTCTGACTTGGGACATGCAGGCTCTTCAGAGCTCTTGCCAGACCAGGACTTCTCTGGCTACCACGGCAGGAACAGGGAAGAAATCTCTGCAGAGCCCTGGTGGCACAGTCCCAGGCTTTGTGTGCAAGTGGTGGAGATCCCCTGTGTGCCCCAGAAGATGTTGTGACATCAGTTTCTGAATGGGACCACGAAGATGCTATTGTGCTCATGTGGTAACCAGAGTGGCCCTCTCATCTCATTCCCCACTGCTTGCCTTAAGAGCTGTGGGCAGCTGACTGGATCACTTTTAGGCTGGAATTGCTGCAGCAGATTAGTATGCAACCTAACATTAAAGGTTTTGGTGAAAAAAAAAGTTATGGAAAGAAAGTTAGTAATTGCTCATTTACTTAGGAGAAAATAATTTCTGCTTTGTTGGTTAATGAATTGGATGTGGAGGTAAAACCTGATCTTGAAAAGATGACAAAGTAAATGACTTTTTTTTTTCTTTTTTAGAAGACGAGGCCTCAGGAAGAATATATAAACTGTATAAAAAATTCCAGTAAACGAGAAAGTTCAGTTTCAAAGTGTCTTTTTTGGGGGGGTAAGTCTACGAGTTATGGCTTTATGTTACTTTTTAAAAGGTAGTCATTTTAAGATGGGAGAGACATTCTCTGAAGATGAAGGTGAATTGTTTTTTCTCAAAGATATGAGGAGAATTTCCTTCCTTCCTTCCTTCCTTCCTTCCTTCCTTCCTTCCTTCCTTCCTTCCTTCCTTCCTTCCTTCCTTCCTTTTTATAAGCAGGTGTGATTAGAGGCTATTGTTTTAATAAAATCAGAACTGGTATATTCTTAAAAACAGCTGAATACATTCTGAACCCTTAAAATACTGATTTATTTTGCAAAATGCTTCAATTTCATCTAATGTAAAGCTTTAGGAAAATGTCTGGCATTGCTCTTTCAACATGAAGGTTCAAGAAGTGCCAAGGGTGACTCCTATTTTCCTTAACTGGTGTTTGACATTGACTGTCTGTTCCCTAAAGAAAGCTTTCCCAGAAGAAGTCAGCAACAGTTATTTGCTGACTGGTTTTAATCAAAAAAGGCAAAAGAAAGAAAAGAAGAGGGACATATTCAGAAGCAGTCCATTGTTCTCATAACTTATAGTATCAGATGGCAATCTGTCCTGAGAGTGCATAACTCGGGTCTTTATAGCCTCATGAATCTTCTTAAAGAAATACAGGCTAAATATGAACAGCTAATGAAATTTCTCTGTGTCCCTCATTATGATAGAAATGTTAGAATCAGCTACAGGCACAGCTGCCACTTGTTGATTATTGAGATTATCAGTAGACTTGTTCCACCAATCTTTGAACAGGTGCAAGCTTGACAGGTTTATTGAAACATGATAGGAGTGAATATACAAGTATGTGAGGCATTGGGATCTGACCGGGTGATCATAGAGACAAAATCTGTTAAATACTTGGAAATGTCAGTTTGATTCTCTAGCTTGAGAGGCAGTGTATGAGTCAGAGCTGTTGATGGAAATTGACCTCTCCAGCAATGTCTGAAGTATCAAGGGCCAAGTAATTTAAGGGATACATTCAAAACAGGATTCTGGTATCACCACTGTTGGAAAACTTGTCCACTTTCAAATAAGAATGTGTATGAGTGTAAATATTCATACTGTTCTGCTCTGCTAATTATTTTGTATCCATGTATCCAGCATCCTCTGTTATTGGTAAATTAAATATAAAATTAGACACAACATTTTTGTCTGACCTTGGAATTTTGGGAAAAAAAAGATTGTCCTACTATTCTGTATTATGTCTTGTATTGTGTTGAGAACATGAATTTGAGCCCTTTCAGCATTCAGGAGGAGGCTTTGTTTCCAGGAAATTTAATTGCCATGAAAAGCCTTTTGGCAAACAGCAGAGAGATCTAGTGCAACACTGTACTCTGAATGCCTCAAAGGTTTTGCCTTTTTTTCTTCACATGCCACAGTAGACCCATGATTGATTTGACAGCTTGGATTTGCCCAGATGTTACCAGTGTAAAGCACATTTTACTCAGTCCTTACCTCTGCCTAGAGCAGGACAATAACTGCTGCGATTTTTGCTAACAGACATCAAAATCCCCATCTGTGTTTAGGCATGTTTTTCAAAGAAAAATATCACGGGGTCATTAAAACTTAATACTTAATAAGGGAACTTACCTTGTTGGCATTTCTGTGGACCTGAAAGGAAAAACAGCACTATGTGTCAGTGTGTAATTTCTGAAACATTACACTTTCATACTTTGTCAAGGGTGAGAGTAGCTCTGGATTCAGAAAGGCCAGTTGTTAATAAGCAGTGAAGAGCAAGTATGTAGGGAAGGCCATTACCAGAGCTGGGTGGTGCATAGAGAAGGATTTCATAACAAGCCTGAATGGAAACAGTTAGATGAACAATGAGTCAGAGAAGTACATGTTTTTAGAATTATACTCCAATATTAGGATCGAGGAATCTTGTTCCTGAGATTGTGTAGCCATACATTAATTTATACCCAAGCAGAAGTTTAAAGAACTAGTCCTGTTAATGCAATGCAGGATCCTTATCTGGCTTCTCCTTTTTTCCATTTCATTTTTACTTAGGGAACAGAGAAATTGTTATGAGCCACCCAGTAATTGGATCAGCTGATAAAAGATCTTGCTGGTGTCTTGGTGTATGACTAGTTTTCATGCTCTGTGTACTTTCTTTGTACTGAGTGATTACCTGTGCATTTTTCTTACTCTGCAATTCTTAAAGCTTCTTTATTTCAACTTCAGTCCACTAACCTTTTGTGAAAAAATGTTTATAAGTCATCATGCCATTTTTGCTTCCATACTGTAACTACCTTGTCTGATTAGTCTGAATTTTAAATTGTGGGCAACCAATTATTTTTAATTCTCAGTACAGTGGCTGATAGAGTTGGACCATTTCTGCTTCTGAATGATCGTGGAATATATGCTTTCCTTGTAGGATGAGGTAAGGTAAACAGTGGAAGAATTTAATTTTGAAACAAGTAGAGTTTTCCTATGTCCTACTTGTGTGTAGTTTTGAGCTGCCTTGCTGAAAGAGGTGCAAGAGATCTGGAGCAGTGAACAGAAGCTCTCTGTAAACATGACATGATTTAGAATATAGGGATATTCTTGCAGTGAAATGAAAATGAAATTGAGGGAATTTGCAACAGTAGAACAGCAGAAAGGAATACAATTCTTGGAAGATACTAGAAAGCCAGAATAAAAATGTCTTAGTTAAGTGTCTCATATTTGGCAGTTTTATTCCACTCACAACTTTCTTGAATGTGCAAGATATGGGAGTAAAAATGTTAGAAGTCCAAATTGCACAAAGTAAAAGAGTGGTGAGAATTATTTGTGACACTGCCAATTATAATAGAGAAATTTCATTCAGAAACATGATTATAAATAGCATTAATTTATTAATAATGTATTGAATGACTTCTACACAAATGGAATAGTCAATATATGAAAAGGATATTTTGTCTGTAAGTAGAGTGAAAGAGTGATTGTCATTTGTTCAATCATAGATTCTCTTTAGGATTTACTCTTCCTCACAGAAAACTATCTATTCCTGTGCTTCCTGTGCACAGCCTGTGAGCACCTCATAATTACCCTGCAAAGCTGGTGCTGGGAAACTCAGATTCCTTTCTCATTGCAAATGGATATTTCTGTGCTTTGTGCCAGGAGCATAAAGTGTTGCTACTGACACCCTACAGGTTTTGCATAAAATCAGAACATTGCTCTTTGTTGTAATACAGAAACTTGGTTCTGGCCTAAATGTGTAGAGACAATTGGCTGCATGTATTATTTTATTGTTTGTCTCCTTTTTTTTTTTTTTTTAATTGCCATTGAACATATTATTCCAGTCATATTTCTTTGGATATATGGTCTAATTAATATTTAACTTTTTATAAACTCCTGTTTTTACAGGATAATTAACAACTTCTCAAATCAAGAATATACTATTTTTTAAAAATAATTATATAGAGAATGAGTCATCTATATAAATCTGTTTTTGAACAGTAAAAGAAAAGAAAAATTGTAAAAACCTCGCAAGAGATTTTTCCTCTCAGAATCCTGTTGGTATTTAGGGAATATTTTGTTTTCTGAATAAAAGTAATAATCCTTAACTATTCTACAGCTTCTGTGTTTTGTGATTTGTCACTATGACACAGCTGTAATTTTGTCTGCCCTGTATAAACCAGTATTTCCTTAAAGGTTTACTTTGGACAGCTGTCCTCTTGTGTGCCAAAGAGAGCATTTTTTTTTCAAAGTAATATAATATACAATCTTTCAAGAGTCTCCTAAAAGCTTTACTGGTCTTTGGATCTTGCTCTGATGTGCAGAGAGGGAGGATTAGGTAGAGTGCATGTAACTACAAACACTCACTGAGAATGCCAAAACAAACGTGCTTTACCATATATAGAAATAAAATCCTTTGTGAATTCATTGTGTAGATAACATTTTTTATTCAACATATGCTGTAGAGGCAAAGATTTTAGTTGATGGCACTGACCATAAAATGAAGACTTCCATTTTATTTCAAAACTTTGTGCACTTAGAAAAAGATAAGCATAATCTGCTTGTGGAGATTTCTTGTTAACAGTTTCAAAGAAGCTGTCTGAATAGCTTGCTTGGATGACAGGAGCAAAATAGAGAAACAGAAATGCATAAATCTGCAGAGTATGCCTGCCCTCAGAGTGAAAATTTTCTGGATACATGCCAGCAAACATGCTTTATTTCCCATCATTTCATTTATAAATGTATGAACCCACTAGGAAGATAATGGTCTTGTCCTTGTGAAAAAGACCCTTAAATGGAACTTAAATCAAGTACATGTCTTTTACAAGCAAGTCAGATTTCTACCCAGCTGCAGAGTTATGCTCTTTGATACGGTTTATAGAAATTTGAAGCAGAAATCTTGATTAAACATCTCTGAGATTTGAAACATCTGAAATCAAGTCCATTTCGGAGACTGGATGAGCAGTCAGTAATTTAATTTCTGTTAAGAATCCTTTCCCCGATTAAACTTGCAATCAATTCTTAAAACTAGCCATGTTTTAAAAGGCAGTGAGATGCAGTAGGAGCAGATCAGTTGATATTGAGGCATCTGCCTTAACACATGTTTCAGGCATGGTCTATTCAGCTCCAGTTGGATTCTATGGATTGAGTTCCCTTTAGTGGTTGGTTTGCATTAGCAGTGCTCCCAAAGCACAACTTCTGGTTGAATTTCATCCTGAAAGAAACCACTTTGTGCACTCTGAAGTTGTGTGATGTGAACCAAAATGCAGTCAGTGGGAACAGTGGAGGGCTCATATTCAATAGCCCACTTCTGATCTGAACAGAAGTACGAGTCTAATTTTTTAGGTGATAAAAGGTAGTTGAAAAAATGAAGGAAGCTATTCAATTTCTTTTAACTACTTTAGAATACTTTCTAAGATTTCAAATTTTTGGCAGAACTGCATTACTTAAAAGACCAAAAGCATTTGTCTTGGAAAATTGATTCAAAAGTAACATATAATCAACTAGATAGATTAATAAACATATTAATCTGTATATTTTCAGAA